AAAGAAAAGAAAAAGATGTGATCTATATTTCCATAAACAAATCCAATAAATAATGTTTATCTATGTGATATAGACATACTATACATTATAAATATGTTCCAGTTCACCTTCTTAGTTTTCCATGTGTGCAACATTTGCTTACTGACATTAATGAGTAAGGTGGGAGTCACATAACATTTTCTTAATTTGCCCAATTGAACGCTTTCTGAGATGCATCCAGAAATGAGTGGTCTTCAAAGTTACTCCAGTTCACCCTGAGAGTAGCATGATAATGAATAACAGTATGAAAATACTGATAAGCTGAGCAACTTCAATATATAAATCTAAACCACAAATGTCAAATTGCTGCTGGGTGCTTTGAAAAGGTTAGAGGGATCACCAGAGCCAGTGGTATTTCTTCTCTAGAGAATATTTGCATATTTATACAAAGTTAATGTTTCACTTGTTGGACAAAAAACTGCTAGAAGATTTAAAAACACTAAATTCAACTCTGTTTTAAACAACTTAATCAAAGCGCACTCAACTACTGAAGCATTTTTATTTCATCAATAAATAAAAATGGGTATGATGAGAGTGAAATGTACAAACTGTCAGGATTCATACATTTTTTTAATTATGAATAGTTCAAAATGTCTGTGCAATACAAAGTAATTACAAACATTTCACACACCTGCTAGCACTTTTAAAGAACATTTTAATAGTAAAATTAAATATTTGAGAGATGGCTTCAAACCTAAATTCCATCATGAAGTCTTGTCCAGATTTCAGCTCACTGATTTGATTCTTGACACGATTTTAGACAACATTAAAAAGCTGTTCCTTTCATTTCAAGCTCTTTTCTCTCTGCCTTGCTTTTGCGCCGATGACCGAGGGACAGAATTATCCAACAGGCAGCAAAACCCACCACTAAACCTACAATTCCCACAAGGACAGGGACCCACACAGGGGTGGAGGAGGGACAGTTGAGCACAGGGGCTGTTAACGCAGAGCTGGAACTGTGGGTGGAGTCTGTAAATGGAGTAGGTGTGGTTCCTGATGGACTTGGAAGACTGTTGATCTTGGTGAAGATAAACGGACTGGCCTATGGGAAAGATAAAATGGTTAAAAGCTCAAGAGCTGTCTATATGTAAGAATTTCTGAACTTAGGAGAAACACTGGAAATAAAACTTAATTTTGTGGAATAATCCACTATATTTTTAAAATCATTTGACATATTGTGAAATATTTTCTCCTATTCATCTTCACATGTCCATATTGGCATGATAGCGTCTCACAGTTGCTGCAGATTTGTCGACTGCACGTCCATGTTAAAAAAAATCTCTCATTACACCACATCCCCAAGGTGTTCTTTTGGATTGAAATCTGCTGACTGGAGGCATTTGAGTACAGTAAACTCATCTTTGAGCTCTGTCACATGGCACACTGTCGTGCTGGAAACAGCCATCAGAAGATTATTATACTGTTGTTAAAAAAAAAAAAGGACATTGCTGTCAGGCTGTTTACACCAAATTGTCCAGTTTTGGTGAATCAGTGGAAGTTGTAGCCTCAGTTTCCTGTTCTTAGCTGACAGGTGTGGCCCCTATATTTATATGTATATATATTTATAATAATTGTTTTGCTTTTTTTTATACTTTAGGTATTTTTTAAAATAAAAAAAACCTCTTTTTGAAATCATAGATTGTAAGTGGAATTAAATCAACTAATTATTAAATAGTTGTAGCAACATGATTAGTAGAATTTCTCTAAAATCTTCCTAAATACCTCAGAGGGACAGTGAATTTTGGAGCGGTCATATGTGAAGTTGTTGTAGGCCTGCTTTCTCCCTATAGGCTCTAACTGTAAGAAAGAAAGAAAAAGAGTTGAAATCTTTAAAATGGCAAGCGAAAAGAAAGGTTTGCACGAAGTTAATACTTTTTACTGAGTTAAAAGTTTGCATAGACTATACCACCCTGCTTCAGTTTGGTTCATTATTTCCCGCAGCTCACCATGTTATTCCACAGACCAATGGCCATCTCAGCATGTGCTCGCTCACTGATGTGGAAACAGTCTACAGAGAAGAAACTTGTATCTGGCTCACCCTCCTGGTGAAAAAAATGAAAAAAGTACCAATATGGGTGCATTTGATAATTCGTGTTTGGTTTGTTTCTCAGTTACTCACTCCAATTTTAGGGATGAAGGAATTACGTAAAAATGGCTGAAGTACGACAGCAAAGTCTTCTTTTCCGTCATAGAGATCTCCAGATACAAGATACTGGAGCTCAGCCTAAAGAAATATAACAGAAAGGATTTTTTTTAGAATAAAGAAGTTATTGAAATGATTTTAAAACAAACTGCTTCCCTACCTGGTACTCGTGATTGATTCGTTTCATCTCCTCAAGCTCTGGAGACTTTTCTGATGGGTTGATAACACAGGGACAGCTGGTCCTGGAAAAAGAAATCCTTTTATTATTGTTTTATTGTCCTTAGAAGGAATAACATTATCAGCTGACCAATTGAAATATGGTAATACAGTCGATATGATACAGTCGATATGATACAGTAGACGCAAACGTCATCTCCGAACAATCTCATCTGTAAAACAAGGGAACATTTATTTGTTCACATTTGAAAAGGTGATTTACATGACATATGTAAAATCCCTGTTTCGTTCTATGAAAAGGTCAGAAAAGACATGCACTACAAAACCAACCTCTGGATTAGTGAGCAGCCCAGAGTGTTCCTCGTAACTGATTTCAACAGATTTATCTGCATGATCTCCACGACATTAACCAACAACCTCGGTACCTAAAGATACACGGAGAGAAATGTAACTTAGTTAAACTCATGATAACAGTATAGTTCACTATTTTAAATATAACCTACCTCTTTGTAAAGCATATCCAAGCTGATTTTAAGATTATGGCTGTAGTTCTTGGGCGATAGATTATTCTACAGAGGTTAAGCACATGTTGTGTTATTGTTCCATAGTGAACTGTTGTTTGTGTACAATGCAGTAATTTTGGGGAACACTTACTTGATCAAAGCAGTAATTGCAGAGGTCATTGCCTCCTATAAATATTGTCAGAAGTTTCCAGTCCTTTTCAAAATTCACCTCCTGTGGGGCACATGTACCAAAACTGATTATCAAAAACAAACAAATTGCTAAATGTAACTCATTTTTAAATCTAACTCGGTTTTCATGTACCGTATCTTTTCTTATGGCCTTGATGAGAGCTTGGACTTGTGATGGGATATCTCTGAACAAGTGAATACACAGACCGTTAACACGTTACAGAAAATGAAAGAGGGTTGGTGAAAGGTTTGTTTCACTGAGGTGTACATACGATGCCTTAACTCCAGGTTCAGCCATGTTGAAGTGTTTCTGCAATAACCCCTGACCTTTGGAAAAGCCTTTCAGAGAGGGGTTGAACTTCTTTAAGATGTCTGAGGAAATACAAGTAAATGAGTAATGAGAATATGCAAGAGTGGTGTTCTCTTTGTACACAGTGGGGTAATGATTTAACTTTAACTATCATGTAATCTTTATTATTAAGTTGTATTGCAATTTCAAATCAAAATCTTTAACAGCAAATCAGAAATTGTTTTAAAAAGGCAAAATTCCTGTAACATTTCTTTTTAGGCTTTATATTTATATTGGATGTTTTCAACAGTAAATCAGAGATTATTAGACATACGTATAACAGAAAGAATTATCTAAAGACTTTAAATACCCCATGAATCCATGTTGTAGAAACGGCTATTTCAGTCCCATAAAGTAACTGGTTTTTGCCCAACGAGTGGCATAAACTCACTTGGTAGTGTTGTGACTGTGTCCAGAGTATCATCACCTCCAATGCTTTAAGATATACATGAAAAAAGCCGATCAGCAGTACATTGGTTTATAACAGTCATCATCCTGTATAATGAGAAAATATCATACCTCCATGATACTCCTTTATACTTTGTATTGAGCTCAAATATGTTCTTTGCTTTAGCACCAGTGCCTGTCTATGAAAACAAATATACCACACAGCAGTTTAAAGATGCAGAAAGTTTGTTTTTCTGCTTAAAAAGGGGAAATAATTATTATTGCACTTACTGTCACAGAGTCTCCTAATGCTGCCACCACTTTAATGTCTGCTGGCCTCAGCTTGTGGACTACCAGAGGTGGAAAGGGTACTCAAAATTTGTGCTTAAGTACAAGTAAAAATACTCAAGTACTCTTCTCAAAAACTACTCAGAGTATTAATTACTTTTTACTGGTGGATGTTTTATTATGTCATCAATAGCGGGCATTCGGTTCATTTCACCAGTATAAAATATCTATGTTCAAAGCACATTTCTCAGATGAACAAGGTATAGAAAGGAAACAATGAAATGCAGGTTCAAGAGCAAGAACTGGAGAAAACACATGATGACCTGCAGTGTACGCTTCAAGAAATCCAGAGCAGAAATCATGACTTAGAAGACATGTACAACATGTACAACAGAGGAATACAGACATGTACGAGGCAAAGCTATTACAGGAGGCCTCTAAAAGAAAAGCTTGCAGAAAAACAAGCAAAATTAGAAGAACTGGAGAAAAAATGCAAGAAACTTGAGGAGGAAATGGCAGTAACAATCAAAGAACTGAAAACCCTCATCCTACAGAAAAAAGAGCTCCAGGAACAGTGCCTGCAAAAGAAGGCAAAAAGGAAGAAATGCTTCTGTTTTTTCTGGACGAGGGACTCTCTTGCTTCTTCACTTAATCGCTCCTTTAAAGGGAGTTTTTCCTAACCACTGTCGCCTTGTGCTTGCTCAGAGGGGATTGTTGGGAGTTTCTCTCCTCCTTTCTCTTTCCTCCTTTATATCCCTTTCTTTTCACCTCCCCTCTTCTCCCTTTCTCTCCTACCACCTCTCCATCACTCCCCATTTTTTCTTTCTTCCCCCCCTCCCTTCCTCATCATTTTTCTTTTCTTTTTTCACCCTCGCTTAACTTATTCTTAACTAACAATAAACATAATCAACCATATTTTTACTTGTGTCAAATCAATGTCTTCATTTAAGAATAATTCATCTTAAGAACAAAAACAACAAATGTGTGATAGCTGTGTGTGTTGATGGAGCGACACATTTATGTCTTACATTTTAGTTGGTCTGTTATTGTTGGGTCTTTACAATACAACATAAAGCACCTTGAGGCAACTGTTATGGTGATTTGACACTATATAAATAAAATTGAATTAAATTGAATTTTAGTTTAGTCTTATAGGTTATCATAGTTTTAGTTATTGCAAAGTTTGGTACTTTAGCTTAAAGTTTTTGGCTTTTAAGTTCCCTGGTTCCAATATCTATCCAGCTTTTTGGAATTGGGATTGCATTAAGTGGAAGATAGTGGACACGTCTTGTGTGTGTGTGTGTCTGTGTGTATGTGGGTGTCCATCTTACCTGAAGTTGGCACAGTGTCAGATGGTGCAATATTTACACAGGAAAAGTCACTTCCCCAGTTCTGAAAGAATTGCAAATACCAAAAATACTTTAATCAGTCCTCATTAATCAAAACATTTAGCTTTCATGAAGCATCAGTAAAATAACATTTCTTAAAAACAATATTTGTGTCTTTTAACCTTTAAAAATGGAAAGTCTGTCCAAGCATTGCACTGGTTTCTATCTAATGCTTACCCAAAGAAAATAAGCAGACATTAATTCGATTTTAAGGGGGGGGGTGTATCATTGGGGCTAAGATCTGTAGCTTTATTCGGCAAGCATTTGTAAATGAGGGAAAGACACGTACACAACAAAAGTGCATAAACCTTGTAACAATAATAAGAGATACTAGCTGAATTATAGAAATAATTAAAAACAAGGAGAATACTGGGAACCAATTCCAAAATATCCACATGTCTAACCCAAGTCCCTGGCACAAGACAAACCATCATAAGCCCTCGGGCTGCTCATTACTGGCATCTATTTTAGTTATTTAGATAAGTGTTAAGCAGTTCTGAGCTTCCTCTAAGACCCAACAGACTCTGGTGCATGACACCTTCAAAAAAGCCCAAACCCTAAAAAAAGGGAGTCTGTTTACTAGGGTTTAAACAATCTTATAGCTTTAATGTTGTGTGTAATTTGAATGTGTGCTTTGAGACAAGCCCTGGCATTTATGACAATCACAAGCTTTGTATGTTGACCAAAAGATGAGCTTTCAAGCAGTCGAAAATTATCTTCCAGGGTGAGCTCAGTCATTCAAAAAGAGCTCAGAGCAGAGCCAACTATTTCAGTCCACACCACTACACATCGAAAGGATGCATATGAGTTCATTCAGGCACCTGACCATGCCTCCTTTAAGCCTCCAAGGGGAGTGGTTTTGGGTATGTCCTGTCAGGAGAAGGCCCCAGGGGAGAACCAGAACACACAGGAGAGATAATGTCTCTTGGCTAGCTTGGGAACAGCTAACACCTGAATGAGGTAGACGAGGTAGCTACGGGGAGAGAGGTCTGGACACCTCTGCTTAGACTTCTGTCCTAGCAACTTTAACCCAGATAAATGACAGAAGATGGGTGGTTCAAAAGCTCTGATTGACACTTGGTAGGTTGATAATCGGTAGGTTGCTAATTTTAATGGCCCATTCAGGTCTTTGGCTCTTAAACAATAAAATATTTTAATCGTGATAGAAGTTGCTGGTTTTCTTTTTTTGATAAAGACCTTAAAAACCTGGAAGTTAGATACTCACTGTATTAGGCTGAGGTGTTGGGGAGGGACTGGAATAGATGTAATTGCTGTTGTTGTAGGTCCGAATATAAGGTGAAGTCTGGGGATAAAAAGAACTTAAATTAACTGTGATGTATAGTGATAACAAAGAGATGTGTATCTCTAGAGGCTAGAGTCTAGACAAAGAAATGCCACACACCACAACATTTGTAATCTAAGCTACGTTTGAATAGCAATTTTTCCAGTGAGGATTTACAAAGACATGTTGACTTTTCTCCTACCTGACTTGGGCATTTCAGGCCAGTGGATACAGAAAAGTCCTGTAAAGAAGTCTTGTTGCCCAGTGGCTCCAACTTTGAGAGTAAAAAATAAATTGTGATTTGTGCACACAGCATGTTAAGTATAATGATTAGAACAAATAAGCTTTATAGTGTTTATAATCATGTTAGGATAATGTTCAGTACCAATAAATCAGTGGAAGTTTAACAGTCTGTTAAATAGTCAAGATTACGTCTAACAGATACAGTTTTGTTAGTCGGTATAAATTCTTATATCCTTATGTCTCAAGGGTACAGAAAATATATATTATTCTTTATAAGCTCAGCTACTCATACTAGTAATGTAGTTTTATCTGCTGATATTTACAATGTTCCTGCCTTTTACACGTAGCATCAGTAGTTATAATGGCATTGTTGAGGGAGCACATAGTGGTTTTTACCCACCACTAAGTACTTTGAAAGCCTGTAATTCAGAAAATATCCATAGTACTAGTTCCATTAGATATATTACAGTTATTATATAATGTTCTGATTCTGGGTGGGGGGGTGAAACACTGTTGTTTTCCATGCAGTGACCCACTTATTAATATTTTCATGAAGCAGAACAACATCCCCAACAGTCATTAATAATGCAGTCAACAGCAAAATGGCATGTGTGCAAAATACTGTAACAGCCTCTTTTTGTTTACGAACGAAGGTAAGTGCTGCTGTTTGTGATGGCTGATCCCACTGAGACTCTTCAGTGGCACAGGCAGAGATGTCAAAAGAAAGAAAAAAATCCTTGTTGATATGGCACAATTAGAAGCACATGAAACAGCTGAAGTGTGGCAACTACGTCTTTATTGGTGCTTGACAAACACATATTCAGTCAGAATCAAATACTCATGTCATATTATGTTGCGTTTGTAGTAATAAAAGTATCAAATAGCAAAAATATATACGGGTCAGAATAAGTGTTTTACAAAAAGAGTCCCTTTTGTTTGCCATATATTTACCATGTTGTTCCAAAGGGAGCGAGCCATCATGGTCTGGGCCTTCTGGCTGACGTGGAAGCAGTCAGCACTAAAAAAAGAGCGATCAGGGCGGCCATCCTGAGAAAAATGCACAATAAATATGCAAATGTTAAGATTTTTGGACTACTTGCATTGGTCACAATATAACTACTGTGTAGATATCTGATCAGGACCAGCAGATCTTTCAAAATACAAAAACAAACAAAACAAACAAAAGGCAGAATCTGCAGTATTTTCTTTTTTTTAAAAATGTCAATAAAGCTGTTTTTGTAAGAACTTGGGATTTAACATTGACCTTAATCGTTAAGGGAGTAATTTGTCATTTTGAGAAATATACTTTTAAAATATACAATCTGAACTGTTTCAAGGAGCACTCCACTCTAAAATGTTAAAGATCACATAAAGACACGGCACACAGCCTTCCTACAAATATTTCAATCATTATACAGATTAAATCAAACCACTGAAACCAGACAGAATAGAGTGACCTTTAGAGGTGGATTTTTAACTTTGGAATAGTATCAGTCAATCAATCAATCAATAAATCAATAAATCAATAAATCAATCAATCAATCACAAGTATATTTAGTATGTTTCTGTTTATTCGTGGTTAAGGATTTGTTGTCTCATGTATAGTTTGAGTTCCATGTGTTATTTTCTGTCTGCCTCTCAGTGTTGAGTTTGTGTCTTTGTGTAGTGATTTCGTGTTTCCTGTTTTATTGTGAAGGTCTGCGTCTCATGTGAGTGTATTCAGTTTTACCCCCCTTGTCTCAATTACTTCCAGCTGTGTCCCCCACCTGTGTATAATCTTCCTGTGTTTCTCTGAGTGTATTTAAGTCGTGTCTTCTGTTGTAGTAGTCGCTGGTCCGTCTGTGTATCCACCGTGTTTCATTTGTGTGTTCTCCCTGCTGTCCATCGTCCTTCATGTTTGTGTTCTGATTCGTGTTTTGTAGTTTAGTTGTTCTCAGTTTAGACAGTCTGCAGTCCCGTTTGCCGTTTTTCTATTTTGTACTTTATTTTCAATAAACCGCCTTCACACCTTTACAAGTGCCTGCGATTGGATCCTCCTTTATTATCTCCACACGGCTCACCCCACTCGCCGTGACACAAACAATTTCTCACAAGAATTTCTACAGAAATTCAATAGTCCTTTCTCTTGTTAGCTAGTATTTAAAATTTCACATCTTTTGTTGATGATTTAAGGTAATCAAAATTAGACGTTATGCTTTGCAGAATAATTTACAGAATTGCTTGAACAGATTCTGTGGAAGCTGTTGATTCAGTGGTTTTATAGTGGAATAACAACAAAATCCTTGTGTGCTGCTGCAGGGGCCATGTTGTTACATACTGGATAAGGTGAGCTGTGGATAAACACCCGTAAATCCTGTGCTCTGTGCTTTATTACTGACCGGCAGCCTGGGGAAAATGATGTCTCTGAAAAAAGGCTGGATAACCACAGTGAAGTCTGATCGAGTGTCATACCGGCTGGACTCCACGAGTTCATGTAGCACTCGCTGAAATATAGAGAAAACAATGATGATCAATGGGGACTGACTTTAGGGCTCCTTTTTTAATGAGATTTCCTTTTTCTGGACTTTTCTACCTGATAGCTTCTGTTAAGGTCTTCCAACATTTGAAGAGCCTCAGAGTTGGACTTTGGCAAAATAACGCAAGGACACATAATCCTGGAGAGATAACAAGGGGTTACACAACAGTTTAAGATTATTTATGAAATGATAACTGTGGACAATAAAAAAGAGCAACTGAGCAATGCATTACCTACATTTTTTTTTTAATATCTCATAATACAAAAAAGTGATACTCACTTCACCAGCCAGGTTGGGCATTTAAGTGAGGGATCTTTGTGCATTTCTCTTAGTTGTGTTATCTGCAGAGGCTCTACTAAGTTCACCAGAGCCCGAGGCACCTATCAGACATTAGCTAAGTTAATACTAATGCTAACACTGACCAGGACCAGCATACAAGCTGCATCTATATAAATGTGACAGCCTGCCTGATGATTTTACCTCCTTGTGAAGATAATCCAGGCTTTCTCGGACATTGCGAAAATAATTTTCTGTAGAGTAACGTAGCTGCAAACCAAGATATAACAAATAAATTTTCGGGTTTGGTGACCGTTTTGGCTCCTTAAAAATGACCTATGAGTTCTTACTACATGCCAGTACTTACAGAGTTGTAGCAGTGCTCACACAGGTCATTTCCTCCAATGAAAAAGGTGATCACCTTCCAGTCTGATTCAAAGTTGATCCTCTGCAACATGCACAAATGTGAAGATAGATAGATAGATAGATAGATAGATAGATAGATAGATAGATAGATAGATAGATAGATAGATAGATAGATAGATAGATAGATA